AGTACAATCAAGATAAAAAATAAGGATGTTTCAAAACTTCACTGCAATTAATTCTTTTTGAAGAGACTAAATATATATGTGTTAGACAATAAATGAATTAATAAGGGATCAGTTTTCTAATTCAAAACAAAATTAATAAATATCATACTTAGTTTCTTCCCTTATAAATGTGGTATATAAGGTTAGCATCCCAATTCTGCCTTCTCTAATTCATTAGGAGTACCCAACAATTTACATATTTCTACTATCTAATCAACAGTATTATGTCCAAAAAACAATTGTTTACCCAATTCCAAATGAGCCAAAATACAACCAGCTGCCCATATATTGATTTTCGTATTATAAAATATCTATCCAAATAATAATTCTGGTGCCCGATAAGCTCTAGAACATACGTAACTCAAACTCTTTGATCCATCGATTTTTTTTGAACTTCCGAAATCAGCTAGATAGATGTTACCACTTTAATACAAAATGTTGACTGGCTTAAGATCTCTATGCATTACCTCTTATTCCTCCAAATATTCCAACGCTTAAAATATTTATTTGGCTACTCTTTTTAATGGGACTCTTATTGCATTTTTTAGATTTCCTTGATATAAATCCATAACTAAATGCAAATATTTGACTTTATTTTCAACAGTATAATAATAATCTCTTAGAGGTGCTATATGAGGGTGATGCATATTCAGATGTATTTCCAATTCCCTATTGATTTATTTTGGATCTTGGAGTACTTTCTTTATTGCATAATAACCACCATGCAGCTTATTTTCAACAATGAAAATAGTGCTATAACTACCTTATCCAATTTAGTCCAATATTTAATATTTTATGTTGTATTAATGTTCTATTGATTCAGAGACAAGTATTTAGGAATCTGATTCTCTCTTGAGATGTCGATAATTAATTAATGTTTCTCACTTGGGGTTACCTTCTTTTTTTTGATTTAATTTAATTCAATTACATATATTTTTATTTAATATATCAATATAATTCAATTATTTTTCACAGTTATTCTACTTACTTATTATTTGCTGATTATGTACTTTTTATCGAATAATTATAAACCTTCGAATTGAATATAATTTATATCAATGAGAATTATGATTTTAGAGATCTAGGATTACTTTACAAGCATGATTTTAATATGATTAAAATTAGAAGAGCTTAAACTCAATTTCTATCTGTTAAATAATGTAATATAAATGTAGATATTTCTCATTTTATTAATTTTTTTAGATCCCTCTCAAATTTAGATGTTTCAAAAAATATTATTTTTAGCATTAGATGCATCTAAAAGATTGCTAAAATAGCAGTGTTTATTTATATTCCAAATCTGGTTTTATAATTATAAAATGATAATTCCTTTTCCAAATTTCGCATTTTAATTATCGTCTAATTTATAACAATTAACTCTTATCAAACTCATTTTGAGTATTTACCTGCTCTAATTTATGGCTCTTTTTTTGCTATAAGATGTTTAATTCTGTTGGAACCATTAATCCATATTTATAAAAATTAAATTCTACTTTATTATTCATTAAAATGAATTGTAATTAAATTTTTATTGATTAACTGAGATGTCCTGATTTTTAATCAAAGAATAAACATGCTTCACTTAAACGCCCTCCAAAATACTCATAGAGTTTCATAATGAATTAATTAATTCATAAACCAAGAATTATAAGGAATTAATATAGTGTACAGAAATATTCATCATCAACTGATGTTCTTTGCTAATCTTTCGAATAACCATAAGTTTTGAATTTAACAATATCATAATTAAGGGATAGGAAAATTTTAAACAAGTCAAAGAAGACAGGTTTATGTTCAAAATCTAAAAGTAAGGAGAAATATCAACAATTGTCTAGTTAATATCACGAAAGGAAACGATCAAACACCTACCATATCAATTCTCTTGCTAAAACAGCGTTGCTATTTGTAAATCGTTAAGATAAGAGAATGAAAACAATTGAAAACTCGGATAATCTTTTTGACCTTAAATACTTGGAATTATTGCGAAGTACTTAATAGAGTGGCAAGCATAATCCTTTAAATACAATTACAACTTTACCAAATTACAATTATGAATCGACTTTGATTTCTTGTGTGTCTTAACCAAGCACCTCTTTGTCAAATTAAATCAATTTGGTTAAAGAATATGTTTCTGAAATTAATCAGTACAATGTTAAATGGTAGGAATCTGAGAAAATAACAAAGAACATCCCAAAATTATTATTAGAAAAATATGCTACTTCAGATGACACGTCATTATATTTAGAATCCTCAAGATTTAAAATCGAGAGGAACTTTAATCAAATTTATAAATCAGGTAAGTTTCGATGGCTATATCCTGGTGAAGAAGCAGCCATTTTAGAAGGCATTGAATCATTTCTAAATGAATGTTCTAAAAAGATATCCTTATTGATGATGAGCATATAGAAGATTTTAAAATTGATTATTACTTAAAAGAGGTTAGAATATTTATTTAACTATCCTATCTGCATGAAGTAAATTGAAGCTCATTGGAAGATTATGGCTACACTATTTAAATTGAAACAGCAAAATCATATATACAAAAATTAAGTAACAAATAAGTTATGGAAAGACATTCAAGCATCAAAAACATTATTTTTAGATTTAAATCTAGAGAATAATAAATTGGCTCTTTTTGTCAAGCAATTATAGCATTGAATTTTAAAGGATTTTTCAATATTTTATTTTTCATCAAAATTATAAAAAAAAAATACGACTTAATTCATAAAAACAAATTAGCTAAAAGTAATCTCTTTTTTCCTCTCCTCATAACTTTTGTTGCATCTCTTCTCGAAACCAATTAGTATTCTTCTGGAATCTAAAACAATGACTTTATTTAGTTATCTTCCATATCTAATTATTTGTATGCTTAAAATGTCACTACAGCATCAATAGTAAAGTTGATAGGAATTTCAATTCTAATTGGAAATCCTTTATCGTTAAGTAATTACTTAACACTCTCATTTGATAAAACTGTTTTTAAAGATTACATAAACTCATTCCCATTTGATAGCATTTTTATAATAGGAAGAAACTGCTAAAAATTTAATGGAAATGCTTGACTAATATAAAGTTAGCAAGATTCTGATGATTCTATATATTTAATAAATATTTTACTTTTTTGATTCTCATTTTTTATATTGCCTTGTATTTTTTTCTTTATTTATTCATTTTCTTACTTAAAAGAAGGTGAATTAACAAATAATTAATCTCCTACTATTTGACTTGTAATTTATTCCAAATTAAATCTTGCACTTGTAGGATTCTAATCCATAGATTAATTTAAATATTAATCTAAACTCATATAATAATGTTGTTGATGCTTCTTATTGAAATGTTATGATGTTTGTATTCGAAATTCGTATTTCTAACAGATCCAATTATGTATTTTTTAGCTCACGTAATTTCCAAAGAAATTCTTGCTTTTAATTAATTCACATCCAATAACCTTCATATCTCCACTTACACTTTCACAATTTACCAAGTCCTTCAAAATTTGATTCTTTTCTTCAGGATCTATTTCTTGCTAATTTAATTTTATAATCTTACAATAGGATAATAGTATATCTTTTTCGCTCTATTTAAAATAGTGACAAATTTACAATTCGAACTATTTTCCTTTTTCTAAACTGATCCCATTAATGGATTATAAATTACTGTGAGATCTCTTCTTTTAGTTTTATAATTCTTCGTCCCTGCAAAAGTAGAGTCCAATCTCAAAGATGAACCTTCATTAATAAACATATTACCTCTCTTATAGATTTTGTAAGTATCATTGGGAGTGAACTTGGAGATGAAAGGAATAAAGCTAGATTTGAATTCCCACTTCATTTCGAGATAGAAATCATTGATTTTTAATAGTTCTTAATCAATTTAATTGCGTTCCGATTACATGTCAAATAATTTTTTGGAAACTAAGTAATCAAACAATAATGATGTAGTCAATAAGTCATTTTGAGCAACAGTTTCTTCTATTGGACTCCACCCATCAGTATCTTTAATAGAAGGGTCAGAACCATTTGATAATAATAATCGAATAGTTGAAAATTGGTTCTATTGTTACTACAATTTTACAGCTAATAGCAGTGGTGTATTTCCATTGATATCTTTCATATTCAATATATCAGTTCTATACTCTTTTTACAATAGCAATACAATTTTAGTCAATAATTAAATGTTTCTATTAAAAACAGCTTCAATTATTTAATTTAAAAGGTCTTTTTCATTTAGTTTAATTGAGGGTTGTTGAGCAAATGAATCATTACATGGAACATCAATAGTAAATTGACTATTATTTAATGATTATTGGCATGATCTATTATTTACAAAATTAGAACTGCTATTATTATTGATGCTAGTTTAATGAACATTTGTTAAAAGGAACATTAATGGAGAATTCACTTATTTAAAGGATTGATCGAAAGAATGGTCACCAACTTCTTTAGTCCTTTTTATAAAACTTAGTGTATTATGATTGCTTTCGGAAATAGGAGATGATTATCTTTGAATAGAAGGAGATTTATTTAACTTAATGGATTAATCATCTTTGTTTATTTAGATTCTGCTAATTTATTTTCCTTGCCAAAACTTTTTAGATTTTATTTCATTAAACATTTTAATTTTTTCATTAAAGAAACTATTCTTATATTAGCATAGAATGTTTGATTTTTTGTTCTCATCTGATATATCAAATTCTGATAGTTATATTTCAGAAGAATCATCGCAAGATGATTCAGAACTTGATTCCTCTCTTCTTTTATTGATTTTAAAACAAGTCTGTGATTTACGAGAACTAGTTCCACTAATACTCCTGAGACAAACCGTCTTATGCTTAAATTTCAGTGGTAGATCATGTAATTTATCTAATTTCTCTTTTATAGAATCTTAATAAGCCTCTTCATCGCTGTATTCGAAAGTTTACATCTGATATATTAATATTTTTAATACTCATAATTTATAATAACAAACATGAAATCTAATCATAATTGACATTCAACTAGTATAATAATTCTCAAAAATCGTATGAATTAAACTCCGTAACGATTAGCACTTAATGCAACCAACTTCTCAAGCTATGTTTCATAATTTTTAAGCACTTCCAAAGGTAGAGATAAATTTATGGCAATATTATAATATTCATTTGATTTTTATCATAGTTGCACAAAACATTCAAATTTACTCTATGATCAATAATTAGGTTCATAAAATTAATTCAAATGTCATGTAGTAGTTGAAAAATTCAAATATGTATTATACATTTTTCATATATAGAGTATTTCCTAAAGCCGCAAAATATTCACTCTACATTTAAATATACTATGTAAGTGATAACTTTTTGTGGATTATTTTAATTTTAGCGTAAAGGTATAATATATTTATGTTAGAATCTTAGCAAAATATTGGAAAAAGAAATAGAAGCAAGATGGAAGTAAAGGAAAAATTCTTTTTCCTAAATGAGAATAATAATCAATATGTTGAGATTAATCATATTTATAATTTTAGAGTCAAGTAATTATTGACTAAAATTGATAATTAGTAAAGAGAATAGGGTTTTGTTGAATATGACAAAAATACTGACTTAAGATACATCAAAAAGATATAACAAACATCGATTAAACTGAAAATGAAGAGGAGGTTTGAAATTCTGGATTTAATTTTATCGGTTCTAAGATTCTTCATGCTGACTAAATCTTTAAAAATAACAGAGTATCAATGAGAAAAAGATTGTTATTTAAATTGACAATTCTTCAAAGTTGGAGATTTAGATAAATTTGAAATTAAAGAAAGGATTTGCATCATCTGGTAAAATGGATGATTCGATTATTTAAATTATATTATATCATGGTTTTGGTTGATGGAAATTAGTTTTGCATCCTTCACTACATCTAATGCACTTATTACAGCAAGTATAGTAATCATCTGCTCCACATTTTTTACAAGAATAAAATTTTAATTTGCCGCTGTGAAATAAACAAGAATCCTAAATATTAGAATAAGGTTATACTATATAATTCGTTCTGGGGTTATATAATAGATGACATTATTAGCACTCCTTTTTCGAACATTTTTGTAATTGCAATTCAGCATATTTAGAAATTGATTTTAAAATTTATGAGATGAGTAAGTTTTTTTGATTTCCAAGCTCTTCTTTTTATTTATGCAAGTCTTTTAATAATTAAGGGTCATTTTATTCTATTTTTGGTGATACTTCTTCATCAAATTGCATTAATGAATTTTGGGTATCCATTCCTTGATTATGAATTATATTTGTATGAGATGGTTGTTTTTAATCTTAATGCAGAAACTCATATAAATAATTTACGGCATTAGGAACCAACTACTTTTATTACTCAAATACAGAACTAGTAAATATCTGTTCTCTTTCTTAATCAATCAATAATTATTGCTGCTTTAAGTATTCCATTCTTGTTATTTATTTTTCATATTGCTATTTAGTTTGTAATAACTTCTGCTCCTCTTCTTTCTCGTTTTAAACATATTCATCCAGTTTCTTTTATAATACATCATTCTCTTTAACCAGTGATTCTATTTAAAATCAATTAAAGTACGAATTGTAGTATTGTAACTTTAAACTATTAGTTGAGCATCCTATTCACTCATCATTGGATTATCAGATAAGACACTGCTGGTAAATGAGTTTGTCTCCTCTTGCATTATTTTAAAATAATTTAATTATTTTGTCAATAATAATTGATACACGTATAAATATGTTTAAGATTTTGGCCTTACTCTTAGTTGTTAAACTCTATGCAACCGATCTAAACACATAGAATGCTGAAGCTGAAGCTTAATAATAATCACAGCAATCAGGATAAGAAATTGAAACAGAAGGACAGAAGTACATCAATCTATTAACAAAATAGAGTAATTGCAAAATTAACTGCTTGTTGGGTCTTATCAGTTTAGGAATTATCAGAAGAGTAAAAATAGGTGAATGAAATTATAAAGAGTTAATCTAATTAAAACAGAGAGTCCATCTTTTATAAAATATAGACAACAATGTTGGAGGATTGTTATTCGAGGGCTCCAGAGGAAGAATTGAATAATGTGATGAAATCCATTTAGGAAGATAAAAAGAATTACAAATCATTCAAATAATAATTACCTGATTTTAGTTTTGATGTTTTTAATAGTTCTTCATTTGATTGGACTTTTACCAAAAATGATGAAACTTTGATTAAATATATTAGGGTATAAAAGATTTATATTATCTCTTAGAGATTTGAGGAATGGGTTGCTTCAAAGAACACTGTTACAAACACAGTTCAATAGCCAAATTAGCAAAAAAGAGTTTTCGATGAGTTAAAGAAGAAAATTTCAGAATTGAGTAAAAAGAGCTAAGCCAAGGAATTAGAAACTGATAATAAAGATTAAATGGATAGATATCAATTTTATCTCTCAAAATAATAGGGAATGAGAGATCCAATTAATTATCTATTTGCAGGAATTGCTATTTTTTGTTTCTGTTTAGTATTTTATATAGGTATTATACATTAATTATTTTAGTTTATTCCAAAGTAAATTAATCTAACTAAGATCCAAGATTAGATAAAAAGAATAAGAAATAAAAATAAAAAAAAGAGTGATTACATATCTGCATTTTTATTAATATTTTATTTAAATGTAATAATATTCACCGCGAGCAATTGTTTGGATGACATATCTAAACTATTTGCCACAAGATTAAGCTCAATAATTGCCATTCCTTAAAAAATAATAGCAACTCTACAATTCTTATCTGGATGAACTCATTAAAAAGGAACATTTAGAGATTTTCACTATTTTGAACAATATAGACTCTGATCAGAATTCTCTCAGTTTTAATGAATTTTTGAACATAAAGACCCAAGTCGTCAATTCATGTATGGATTTTCATGAATATAATGAAAATGAGCAACTATATGAATTGATCGAAAAAGATGTTCCGTATCTTTTTTATACAATCATTTTAGTCGAACTTTACCAAAACAATCTATCCTGAAGGAACAAACCAATGCCAAGTTCTCTTAATATTTTTTCACTGACTAATATAAAAGGAGAAAACAACAAAATGACACTAATCCAACCCATGCAGATATCCTCATGCGAATTTTATATATTTATGGCAAACTTAATCCAGCTATTAAATATATGTAAGGAATGAGTGATCTGCTTGCTCCTTTGTATTTGATAATCAAAAATGAAACAGACACATTCTTTTGTTTTACTAAAATTATGGCTCAAATTAAAGATGCATATATTTCCACTCTAGATTTTACAAACACTGGAATCAGAGGGCTCTTACTCAAATTTGAAAAATAATTCCAATAAAAAGAGCCAAAGTTATATAGCTATTTGCATAGCCTTGGTATTCATCCTTATATGTATGGATACAGATGGATTATAACTTGCATGACACGTGAGTTCTATCTTGATTAAATCTATTAGATTTGGGATCTAATGTTACATGATCGCAATATCCATGATTTCATTATCAAATTTGCCATTTCCATTCTTAAATATTTGAAACCCTAGTTAATTGAAGCTGATTTTAAATTGGCTTTTGATATTTTGATATACAGTGAAAAAGATGTCAATCAAATTCTCAATTTTATGTGATCCTATTAGTTTATACATGTTTATACTATCTAATTAATTATCTATCTAATTATTAAATTTAAAATTTGATTGACACTTTTAATCAATCATTTAAATATAATAGATTATTTTTCTATTTTTCGGTTTAAAACCATGTTATGAATGAATTTATAAAAACTTTAATGTTTCAACTCAAAATTGGTTTTAGGTAAATCACTCTGAATCACTTAAAATTTCTTATTAAGATAAATAGAATAAAATGATATGGACTAATTTATTCAAATCAATTTTCCTTTTCTTAATCTGTTCAAAAATGAGTAAATTTAACACTTTAATGTATTATATCGTTTTTGAAATAAAAAATCAATATACCAAAAAATTTTTTTCTATAAACTATAATAAATTATATATCTGTCGAGAAGCAATAACAAAGATTAAAATTTAATTGTAATCAATCTCTTCCATCATCATTTTCTTTACTTCAACCAATAAATCAAGAAATATGAATTATTTTTATATTATTTTAGAATCAATTAAAATATATTCCAATAAGTCTCAAAAGTAACTTACTATAAAAACTTTAAATAATTCTGGACTATTTATTAAATTAAACTGTATTTTTACAGATTATTTTTCAAAAGTTTAATTAATTTTATAGAATATGTATCCAAAACCTCAATTTCAATCAATAATAATATAGATATAAATGTAATTAATTAGTATTTTAAATAGATCAACAAAATGATAATATTCTAATATTTCTCTAAACTATTTTGTTCATTGTTAAATCTCTTCTTGTTTTGAACTTCCTTTTTTTCAAACGACTTTCAATAAATTATTCAGCCAATGTATTCTTTCTTGTTTACTTTATTAAAGGAATAGCTGGTTGATATAAAGCATCCTGTTCTTTAAATTAATTACTTTCTACCGACGAGCTCTACTACAAAATATATTATTTTGTTTTATTAAAACTAGTCTATGTCCAAGGTCGACATGGAGCTGCTGTTATATTCACATTACTTCCATGTTGTTGATTATCCAAAAATTATTAATTTCTTGATTTAATTCTTCCTCTTTAAGTTGAATCATTCGGATTATAAAATGAAGATTAGGTTACTTGTTAATTTTTTTGGGCAGCCTATTTTTCTGAATTTGGAATCACTTTAATGGTATTTGATTAAATTTTAATTTACTTTTTGGATTAGAGAGTGCTCTCATTTTTTAATAATTGAACACTTTTCTCCTTTTTTTAAATATGTATTTTATCTCTACCTTTTTCGAATATTTCGAAACTACATTATTCAATTATTTTTCTATTGGAATTTATTTCTTTCAATTAAAAATGAGTAAATGATAGTCTTTGATCTTCAATTATGCTTAATTCATTTTATAAACAAAGGATTAAATGTTTATTAAAATATCCATAATTTAATAAAATAGAATCCAAATTTATTTACCTTAAAATGATCTTCTTAAATGACATTAAAACTAGCATTTGAGACTAACTTCCAATTATTATTTTTGGATCCAAATAAACTTAAAAATCGTTATAATAATATTCATCTCCCTCAATTTCAATGATTGATTATTAAAAATCATCATTTTAATATTTAAACTTACTAAGTTCTCCTGAACTGGTTAGAATAAAAATATTATTTTTAAGAGAAAGCCATTTCTTAATTTCAATTTTGAAGGTAAATTACTTTAATAATTAAATGTTGTTGTCTTTCATTTTTAATAATTTAAAAACATTATGCTCGTCAATTGTTAATATGCAGATATCATTATTTATTACTTTGAATATAGTGGAAAGTTTAATCGAACATCTATTATAATTTAATTCAGAAATACTTCTATTAAAATTAGGTAGTTTGAATAGCAGTATTTATCCTTGTTAAATGTAAACAAATAAATAAACTTAATTAAAATCAATTTCAATAAATTTGAGATTTATTATTTTATTTTTTACTAATGCTCCTTCGCTGTTGTGTAAGCGATCACCACTTATAGCAATATTGATTGTTTCCCCTTTAAATTTAAGGATATCACTTGTTTCAGTCAAAAAATAATAAGTTTCTTAAACAAAATGAGCTTGAATAATAGTTTGCTTTGTTTTGATGTAATGAGTATTAAATTTATTGGGGGATGACATTTAAATTAAGCTATTGTTATCAAATAAAAATTAAGGATCAGAAATTCCTTCTATTAAACATCTAATATCAGATTTATGCTAATAAAGTAAGCGTTGCTCTAATTGCCTATTTAGGATATAAATACTTTGATGAAAGCTTGCAAACAACCTCTATTAATTGATTATAAATAGGTTTTTATACTAAAGACCTATTTTATAAATCTATAAACATTGCCATGTTTTAATAGAAAAGAGAGATATTTCATTATTTGAAGAAGCCCAAAACATATTCTCATCATTTTTATCATTATGTAATTAATCAACATTTGATCCGTGTTCGATCTCAAAAATATTAATAGGCTGATTTTAATTGTACAATGTCCAAGTATAAATCTTCCCATCCTTTGTACCACAAATAATATAATACAATGCAGGAAAATATAGTAAACAAGTTATACTATTTTTGAAATTGGTTATGTTTGCTTTTTCTGATATCAATTAATAATTTTGAGAATAGACTTTTAGTGTAGTTTATTCCCATAGAAATATTAATGAATGTTATAAAGAGAATCCAATGAAGTATTTATTGGAATTTGTAAAGCATAATTTGTTCAATAATATTACTTTAATCTACAATGAAGTTTTTTTGATTTCCATAAAAATCTACTCTATTTTACTATCTTAAACAACATATAAGGAAATAGTTTCATCTATAAATTGAATTGCAATAGGGTAGGAGGTAATGACAGATATTTTATTGAAAAAGACGAGATTTGATGAAAGAATATAGATTTACCAATCATCAAACAGAATGAAGTATATATCATATTTCTTTGAATAAGTGACTTTAACAGGCTTATAATGTTATGCAAAAGTATTATATTGAACGTAATGGCTAACCGAATAGTTGAGTGTATTTATATCCTGTAACAATTTTCCATTCATTACTAGTAAATTCAAAGAGGACTTATATAATATTTGTAAATCTCCTTTTATGCTTGTTATTTCAGTTGGAACGTAACCTAAATTTAAAGTTAAAGACATTTTATATTAATTAATTAAAAAATAATGAAGAGATAAATCTAATAAAAAATATCTGAACATTTATATATTAACAATGGATTAAAATTATATAGCTCCAGATGCATGTGTCCTTGAGATGGACTCTGAAGTTTATATTCACAACATTAAAGAATTGAGAGTTTCGACAGGTGATAAAGTCAAAATCTGTGCTGTTATGAAGGCAGATGCTTATGGACATGGAATTGAAGTTATGATGGATACTTTTGTGAAATCAATAGTCGAATATATTAGTGCTATTGACAATTATGAATTTAGAATCTTGTAAAAATGGTTTAAAGAACACAATGTTCAACATGTTAGATTACTTAGGATTGCACCAGACACCAAAGAAGAATTAATAGAATTTATCATTAATAATTGGGATGTAGAGGAAGTCTTTGGATCATTAGAAAAAGGCCAATATTTCTCAAAAATTAGTTCTGAGATATCCAGAAACTTGGAAGAGAATTGATGTCCAAATATAATAAAATAATATATGTCCAAAACGCACATTAATGTTGAGACTGCCATGGGTAGAATGGGTTTTAGAAAAGTTGGTGATTTCAAACTCACCCAATAAATCACTAATTTAAAAGTAGTGGGAATTATGACACATCTAGCCAGAGAATATGAGGCTCCTCCAAATGATGAAATAGCCACTAGAGCATAAGTGGATTTATTCAAAACATTCATCTCTTAATTAAACTTAGAACCAACCGTCATTAAACATGTAGCTAATTCAGCGGGCTTTGACAAAAGAAATATACATAATTTGATATGGTTAGAGCTGGCTCTATTGCCTATGGGGAAGATAAAAATTAATTCTAAGACCCAAGAGGAATAATTAAACCTATTTTTCATAAATGAAGAACAAGTGTTGTAATTATTTTAAGATTCCTCCTAATAGTCCTATTGGTTACAATGGGATTTAAAGAACCAGATAGAGAATCAACAACAGCAATACGAGTTGGTTGGATTCCCATAATATGGTTTTAGTTAGGAGAAAAAGATTCCCTAAAATTGGGAAGACCACAAAGAATATGCTTGTTGTTGATATAAAATAAATTAAAAATCTTTAAATTCTACACTTTATTATATAAATTGTTATAATTAAGGATATTTAACAGATGAATTTTTAGTTATTAAACTTTAAGATAACTTTAAACTACCCTTTTTTCTTGGTGTAATTTTAGTTTCCAAACTAATTCAAATAAATTTAAACAATATAAATATCCAACGTAATTTTTTATGATATTTAAGGAGCTAAAAAGCCAATCATCACTTTTAAATCAATTATTATTTTTTCACCCTCTAATATATAATTTAAGGATTCAAGTGACATTGGTAATTTATTCCAGATATCAAGTTAATAAAAAAAGGAGCAGCTTGAATTTGACAAAGTTCTGAATACTTTTGATTAAGCGACAAGCAAATATTTGGATGATGCATAAAAGTAATAACTATTATTACAATAGTCCTTTCAAATCTTTATCTACAGTTGTGAGAAGAGAAATATTAGATAAAAATGATGTCTAATTTGATTAATTTAATCTGAATATGATAAGATCCTAATTTCTGCTTATATTTAATTATTTATCTTCAATTATTATTTTTTTATCATTCTTCATGATGCAATCTGTGACGAGTTTTTGATAATTGAACCACTCGAAAGAATTCAATATTCTTCATAAACAAATTTATAAAATAAACAATCATAAATTTCAAGATTATGATTGAATAAACAAAAAAGAGGTTCTAATCCAGGGAAAACATTTCTTAATTATTGAAAAAAAATTAGCATATATATTAATAACTTGATTAATAATTAAATTCTATTTAATCAATCAGAAAGCGTAATATGCTTAAATCTTTAAAAGTGACATATGCTCGTATAAAGTATTTCCATCTTTGTTGTAGAATCTTAATTTTGAGACTGATAATTAGGAAAATTTGACAGCCATTACACCTGGAGGGGCTGAACCTTCATATATTAATGTTTCTGTCATTCTATCATCTCCAATTGCAAATACTTGCATATGGGTTATCCTGCTATCATAATCGTACATCCAAAACCTAATCTTATTTATTAGATATGATTATAGAAATTCTATAATTATTGTACCATGTAACGGAACGGCAACATGCCCAACTACTCCATTATATGGAAAATAAATTAAATCTCTTATAGGACTATTATCTATAATTGGCACTATAAACATATTAGTCCTAGCAGTTATTTACATTGCTCCATTATATAATTGGATTACATTCTTGTAATTCCTTCTTAATATTGCCTTTGATGTAATATTGTCTAAACAAAAAGTCCCATTTACGTCTAAGGCAAATATGCAGAGAATGAAAAAAATAAGAAATATTCTCATTCATTCATAATTAAAAAGACATTTTTTTTTGTCCATTAATAAAGAAAGTCCACCATATTAATTAAATTTACTTCAATAAAGTTCCAACAATTATTTCACTCACTTTCCAGAAAAATTATTTAATTGAAAGAATAGCTGGAATTTGGTAAAGAGATTATAAAGAATAATCTGCTTTTAAAATTTACCTCAATTCAATATTTAAAAAATTTCTGTAGAA